GTTTTGCTTTAAAAAAGGTAATTTTTTTCAAATGAATAAATACTTGAAACAAGTTAACTGGGTTGAGCATTTTTATAACAAATCAGCCTGTGAATGTTATGAGTTATTTTTGCATACATATAATGAATCTTGTCGATTGTTTATTCCTAGTTTGAATAATAAAAAAAAGAATAGTCAACCCTGGTTGGATGCAAAAGTTAAAAAAGCAATAAAGATTAAACATTCTATGTTTTATTCAAATTTGCATCAGCAAAGTCAAGAATCTCGAAAGGCTTTTAACAAATGTGTGCTAATGTTAAAAAGAAAATCAAAAGATCAACTCGAGAATACGAAATGGATTTAGTGAAGAGAGCAAAGCTTGCACAAAAACTTTTATTCTCATACGTAAATAGAAAACAAAACATTAAAACACAAATTAGAGCAATCAAGAACAAAAAGAGATCAAGTTACAACTGAGATATCAGACATTTCAGATATATTAAATATGCAATATCAGTCAGTCTTTGTTAATGATAATGACCAACCAATACCCGAATTCTTGCAAAGATGTGCACACAAAATCTTATTGAGACAATTGACACAACTACATTTGAAACTGCAAAAGGTAAACCATTATGCGTCATATATCTTGACTTTGCAAAGGCTTTTGATAAAGTAGAACATAAAAGGTTATTGACAAAGATTAAAGTGTATGGTATAACTGGTAAAATATATAACTGGATTGAAACTTTTCTTGCAAATAGGAAACAAAGAGTTGCTATTAGTAATACAGTTTCAGAATGGGTATTAGTTACCAATGGCGTGCCTCAGGGTTCCGTTTTGGGTCCAATGTTGTTTCTGCTATTCATAAATGACCTCCCAGAAGTTGTGCTAAACACATTTAAAATGTATGCTGATGATAGCAAAATAATAGCCATAGAAGATTCCATTGATAAACAAGGGGAAATACAAACCGACCTTAACAACATTGTGAAATGGTGCAACAATTGGGGTATGGAACTAAACTGCAAAAAATGTAAGGTGATGAGATTCGGCAATCAGAAAGTTTTTCGAGGTATTGATAAAACATACACAATGAATATAAATGGAATGATTTATGATCTCTCAAACAGTGTATTAGAAAGAGATCTAGGTGTCTTTGTACAACCGGATATGAGGTGGAAGCATCAAAAGCAAGTACGTGTTAACAAAGCTTCAAAAATACTGGGGTTATTAAAAAATGCCTTTGAAAGTAGAGATTGTTATATGTGAAAAATTTTGTATACTACTTATGTGCAACCTCATCTTGATTTTGTGGCTCCAGCGTGGAGTCCTCCAAATGTGGCCGAAATCTCAATGCTTGAAAGAGTTCAATGTAAATACCATACTCAAATCGAATGCTAAGTTATGAGAAATGGCTAGTTAAAATGGATTTAATTAATTTAAATCTCAGAAGAAAACGAAGAGACCTTATTCATTTATATAAGATATTATACAATCTAGAATTTATCAATCTTAATGTCAAACAAGTCTATAAGTGATTTAAATTTAAAGATTTAAATTAGATGGCCCATGATCTTCCATTAGAGGTCTCAAACATAAAATTAGAATGCAGTGTTTTAGTCCTTGCAAAATAAATGACTTTGATGCATCGGTTGCCAAATTTGGAACAAACTTCCGGAAAAAGTTGTAGATTCCGAGAATTTGAATAGTTTTAAACCAAGTTTAGACGAATGGCTTAAAAAAAATAAGAATATATATATATATATATATATATATATATATATATAATATATAATATATAATATATAATATATATATATGTGTATATATGTATATATTTATATATATATATATATATATATATATATATATATATATATATATATGTATGTATATATATATACATATATATATATATATATATATATATATATATATATATATATATATATATATATATATATATATATATATATATATATATATATATATATATATATATATATATATATATATATATATATATATGATTGATAAGGATGGTGTCACTCAAACAGAATTCAAAAGATTACCAATTTGTAAAAAAGTAAGAACTTAGTGGTGAGAAAAATCAAATGGTGGTCAGAAATGTTAAACAGAGTTTTCTGTTGCACATGGTGGACAACCAGATATTAAAAATCATTTAAAAAGTGTTAAACACAATGTCTCAACTTCTGCCTGTTCTTCTTTTTCAAAAAGACTTTCTTGGAATCTAGCACAGAGTTCCATGCATTTGTGAAGAATAAAAAGACACTATTCACCCCCTCCCCCCCTTACACACACTTACCAATGAGTGCAATTTTTTATTTTATTGGAGGTGCAAGTTATTTTATTTTAGGTGCAAGTTACATTTTTTTATAAAGTAAAAGGTATGCATATGTTTAAAGTATTGAGTGTCAATAGCAGTCACATATTTTCATATTTCTGGTAGCATGAGAAAAAAATAATTTTGCAGAATATAAAAAATCACTGCTTGACATTTTTTGGTTTTAATTCTTTTACTTTAGAATCTTTCCCAAATTAGAAAAAAATGTTTGATAAAGGTTAAACAATCAACCCCATTTATTTCTGTAGAAAAATTTTTCAACTTTAACTAAATTATAATTTTATAAACTAGTGTTAGCTGTAAATAATTAATAATTACAAAAGTTTGGAAAATAAGATGAACAAATGATTAGTTTCAATTCCTACAAACTAACTCATAAACTAAATAAATGTTTTTTTTTACATATTTTACTCTACCATTTAATAAATTCTAAATGTCAATACAGTGAAATAAAAGATAACACAGTAAAGTAAAAGATAATACAGTGAAATAAAAGCAAGTACAGTGAATTAAAAGCTAACATAGTGAAATAAAAAATCAAAAAAAAACATTGAAGCATTCCTCTGAAGTAAAAAAATAAAAAAAGTAAAAAAATAAACTAATTAATAATAAAATAATTTAAAAAAATTAGAACTAACAACTAAATTATTTTTGATTTTAAATTAAATTAGTCCAACTATTTAAAAACCACAAAATAAAAATAATCGAAAGAACAATATAGTTGTGTGAGTTTTATTTTTTTGCATTTTAGTTTTTAATACTGATATTTATTTTGTTATTTTAGTTTTTAATAATGATATTTATTTAATAATGATATTTATTTAATAATGATATTTATTTTGTTATTTAGTTACTCTTTTAATTTAATTTACTTGACAAAAAATGTACAAACTAAAAATTACCAATAATTTGCTTTAAAAAAAAATCTTTAAAAAACACTTACATTAGTACTTTGATTTGGTCTAAAAAATTTAAAATGTAAAAACTTGTAAATAGATAAAAAATTTATACATTAAATAATATAAAATGACAAAATACAAAAACAGAAATTTGGTGTCAAAGGAGGTTAAAAAAAACATGTTAAACCAATTTTTCAAAATGTATAACAATAACAAATTTAACAGTGTTACATGTTTTTAAACCAAAATTATTTTTTACTACTTTGTGCAGAGCATTAATACAAAAAATCAAACATAAAAAAAAAAGCTTTTTTTTTTAAGATGAAAAAAAAAAGTGTAGCTTTTTTTTAAATAAATTAACTTTTTTTAGAAATAGCAAATACTTTTTTTTTAAATAAGGCTCTAAACAAACTTTTTTATATTCTTATTTCCCAATTAAAAGGTCAAATATATTTAAAAAAAAAAATTAAATAAAGGAGTAAACATTTTATAAAATTAAAAAAATTAAACATTTTTATAAATCCAAAAATTTCCAAATATATTCCTTTAATAAAATTATAAAAATAAAAAAAAATAAAAAAAAAAATTTTAAATAATTATTTTTTTTCCTTGCATTCACTCAATAGGTTTCTAACAATTTTCATATTTAAATTTAGAAAATGTAACTTACTTCTGATTAAAATTTTCATGTTCTTCAAAATTAAGTGTTTCTTTTCCTACAGTTTCTTTGTTATCATTTTCAGCTAATGAAATATTGTCTAATGCAATAGCCAAAAAAATGTTTATCAAAACATCTTGAGAAATTTGAGTTAAGAAAATTAACTATTACTAACATTAATGTTATCTATAAATATTTTTGTTAACAGTTATATATATATTTAATAAAAATTATAAATATGCTTATTAACAGTTATAAATATATTTATTAGCAATTATAAATATATTTATTAATAGTTATAATGAATATATTAATTAACACTTATGAATATTTTTATTAACAGTTATAAATAAATTTATTCATAGTTATAAACATATTTATTAACAGTTATGGATATACTAATTAACAATTATAAATATATTTATTTTCAGCTAAATATATTGCAACCCAAGTATGAAAATTAAATTCAAGTTTTATAAAAAATTAAAGTCAAGTTTTATAAAAAATTATAATTAAATTTAAAAAGTTGTTTAAAATTAAAGTAGTAATAAAGTTTAATAAAAATTGAACTGACTGCAGTCTGTTAAGTTATAAAATGTATTGAACTGACTGCAGTCTGTTAAGTTATTAAAAGAACTGACTGCAGTCTGTTAAGTTATAAAAACTGAACTGATTGCAGTCTGTTAAGTTGTAAAAACTTAACTGACTGCAGTCTGTTAAGTTATAAAATATACAAGAACCTACTTGGTCAAAATAGTAATTGTAATATATATAACTGACTAATGTCTATTAAATTATGTAACATATAGTAAGAATTTACTTGGTTAAAATAGTGATAATAGTATATTAAACTGACTATTAGTCTAATTTAAGTAAGAAAAAGCTCAACATTTATAAATCAAAGGAATAGACTAGCATTTAACTAGAATTATCAATAAAAATTAATTTTATGTTACAACCAAAAGGATTTAAGCAATACATGTAATAAATTGTTTCAAAAAATGTTTATGCTAAAACCAAAAAAGCAACACTCGCCAATCTTAGTCAATTGACCAAAAAAAAAAAAAGGAAAAAAAAAGAAAAAAAGTTTAAAATTTAAAGTTTTAGGACAACTCTAATAGAATTACTTTGATGCTGCATTTCAATTTTTGTGAAAAACAATAATATTTTTTTTTACTTTTATTGTAAAAAACTTTTTACTTTTTTTGGAATATAATTTATAAAGTATTTAGAATAAACTGAGGTTTTTTCATCTGTAATTTCAAAACCAAAACTATACGAGTTACACTAATTTTGATTTATGCAATTTGAAATCATTCTCTACAAAACATGATTATTTTTGGCCAGGTACTACTTGTATATGCAATCAGACAAACGTTATAAATTCAAACTCTTCAAGGATAATTAAATAATCCTCAAAAATGGTGAATTTAATTATATTTACCAAGACAGTAAGTGTGTCAGAGAGGGAGGAAACAACTGTGTGGTGAAAGAAGTCCAGAGGTTTTAAAAGAGGACTAGATTTGGAGATGCAATTCAGACTGATTCTGCTATAAATTTTTTTTTTAATGCTTTGTTTCTGTCATTGTTTAAACATTTCATGTTTATTTTTATTTTTTTCTGAAAAGCAGTTTTAATTTTTTTAAGAAAAAGATATAAAAGATGCAAGAGAAATACATATATCTGCTATAAGTATCAAAAGTTTAACCAAAAAAAAAGCGCAGGTAAACCATAGTTTGTTTTTAAAGTAATTTGTTTTGCTTTTCACATATCCAGATCAGATCTCTTACAGCATACAAATGAAAAACTTATTGAAGCAAAATCAATATGTAAGTATTGAGAAACAGGTTTTATTAGAAACAAAATAACAGATAAGTTAAAAGGCAAAAGATTAATGTTCACATTGACACAAATTTGCTTCACAAATTTGCAAGCAGAAGGACATCTTTGCTACTAATGATTAACAGGCATCAAGTTTATCCACTCCAGCTGCTCCAGATCTAGAAGACATTCTGTTAAGTGTTCACATAATTGAAAACTTAAAAAGAGAAGTTCAGGCAACAAAAACTTTTAACATTCTTCAATACTTTGGTTCTGTAGATCATGTTTTTGCACTTAATTTAGATAAAACCAGTTGTGTGGAAGTTATTGGTAAATACCACAGAGCAATAGCAAATCTTACCAATATTATTTACTCAAACATCGTTTAGGAACATCTTACCAATACTCGAACATGCTTTGGGTTCTTTGTAAGCATCATATGTATGTCTATCATATATAGGTCAGGTCAGGTTTTCCTGCTACTGGTAACATGTAACCCAGTACAACCTGCTCCATGTCCTGCTGCCTTGTAGGATACGCTTTTTTAGGCAAAGGCTAGGAGAAGTTAACTCTGAATTAAAACACCCCCTGCCTTGGGGCTCTTGGTTGAGTATAGGCTAGAGATGGTGTCTTGATAAAAATACTCATCTTGGGCAGATGTTACATGCATCCAGCTGCTGTCTTGTAGAAGGCCTCCTAGGCAAAGACTTAAGGGGTAAACAGATTCTATCTGTTGACCAGCCTCGCACCCCTTCCTCATCTATTAGGCTGGCGCAGATGTATTTTTTAATACATTGTTTCCAGTTTAGGATGTTGAACGCTGGATCTTCTTGACTCAATGCGTGGGTATTGCTTGTGTCTCTATTTTTATGACTGGGCAACTCATTCTATTATCTCCTAATGAGGGTACAGCTCTAAAACTCAGTTTTATGGTTCTGAGGCCGGCTGGTAGTCAGGTTTCCCGAACTCTGTGGTAGCTCTCAGAGAGGCTGATTCCATCAACAGCCGAAAAATATCAGAGTACTAACAGTGCCATGTTGCACATGGATGGTGTCCCTGTTTGTACTTTTGGTGTGCATTGCAGAGGCCACATTTGGAGCCCTTTGTTACGGCTTAGGGTTTATTAATAGTAATGAGGCTATTGCTTAGTTGTTAAATAGTGTACTGAGTACTATCTATACTTGAGTCAAGTTCTTTATAAATTTAAAATGACTAAAGTACCTAAAACTAAAAAACACAAAAAACCATTGTCATCACCAAGTTCTCTAAACCTATCATTTACTAATATTCTTTTCTTCTGTTGAGTCTTATCTCTTACAAAGTTCACCAGACCTACTTGCTCTTTGTGAGACTAATTTGAGTTCAGCTGTCCCATCTTGTGATCTTAGTGTTGATGGCTATCTTCCTTTAATTCGTAAAGACTCCAATAATCACATGCTTGGCCTGGGCATCTACATTCGTAAGAACTCACCCATTTGTCGTGAAACTAGGTTTGAATCTACAGACTATTCATTTATGTGCTTTCGTTTAGCACAACTTCACTCTATCGCCTTTCTCTTTGTTCTATATCGCTCTCCTTCATCCCAAGATTGCACTATTCTTGATGTTATTTCTGATCAAATTGACCAAGCCCTCTCTCTTTATCCATTGGCCAATATCGTCATTGTTGGTGACTTTAATGCCCATCACACCGATTGGCTTGGCTCTAGTGTCAGTGACTCTGCTGGCGTTAAGGCCCTCAACTTTTGCCTTTCTCAATCTCTAACTCAAATAGTCAACTTTCCAACTCGTTTTCCAGACAACCCTAATCATTTACCTTCTCTACTCGACTTATGTCTTGTTTTGGATCCTAGTCAGTGCTCAATCTCTCCACATTCACCCTTAGGTACTTCTGATCACAGTTTGATCTCTCTAAAACTATTATCAAATTCTTCTACTTCATCAGAATCCCCCTATCATCGTACCACATACAAATACCTTAAAGCTGACTGGGACTCTTTCCGTGATTTTCTTCGTGATGGCCCTTGGGTAGAAATCTTTCGTCTTCCTGCTGACAAATGTGCTTCTTACATAACTTCGTGGATTCAGGCTGGCATGGAATCTTTTATTCCCTCTCGACGATTCCAGGTCAAGCCTCACTCTTCTCCTTGGTTTTCCTCACATTGCGCTGCAGCAATTTCTAATCGAAACCGTTATTTCCATATCTATCAGCAAAACAATTCTCCAGAAAACAGACATCTGTTCACTATCGCCAGAAACCATTGTAAAAAGGTTTTGTCTGACGCCAAAGCTCGCTATTCCCAGGTCATTAAATCTCGTATCTCATCACAAAAATTAGGCTCTCGAAACTTCTGGAGAATCTTTAACAGTATCAATAATAAGGGCAAATCTGTTATTCCTTCTCTCTTGTATGGTTCAGACTTTGTCACCTCACCTAAAGACAAAGCTGAATTGTTTGCTAAGAACTTTTCATCAATATCATCTCTTGATTTCACTAGTTGCGTTTTACCTGACATAGCCGTCAAACAGGTTGATCCCCTGCTTGACATTCGCATCACTTCAGCTTCTGTATCTAAAGTAATTTCCTGCTTAGACTCTTCAACAGCTTGTGGTCCTGACAACATTCCTGTTGTAGTCTTGCAGAGGTGTTCTCCGGAGCTTTCATCCATACTTTCTAAACTATTTAACAAGTGCTTATCAGAGTCTTGTTTTCCATCATGCTGGAAAGCAGCATCTGTTATCCCTATTTTCAAAAATTCCGGAGAGCGATCTGATTCATCTAACTACCGTCCCATTAGTCTTCTTCCTGTCATAAGCAAGGTTTTTGAATCTTTAATCAACAAACACTTAATCTCTCATCTTGAATCAAATAACTTACTTTCTGATCATCAATATGGATTTCGGTCTTCTCGTTCTACAGCTGATGTGCTAACAGTAATAACCGATAGGTTTTACCGTGCATTAGATAGAGGTGGAGAGGTTAAGGCTATCGCACTTGACATTTCTAAAGCTTTTGATAAAGTTTGGCATGCTGGTCTTCTCCATAAGCTTTCTTCTTATGGTGTAGCTGGTAACGTCTTTAAGATTATTGAGTCCTTTCTTTCCAATCGTAGTATAAAAGTTGTCCTCGATGGACAACACTCTTCTTCACATCCTGTAACTTCAGGGGTTCCTCAAGGTTCAATCCTTGGCCCTATACTCTTTTTAATTTACATTAACGATCTTCCAGATATTCTCACATCTAAGGTGGCATTATTCGCTGACGACACTACCATTTACTCTTGTCATGATAAGAAGCCTACACTCTCTGATTGCTTGGAGGGGGTATCTGAGCTTGAAAAGGATCTCACTTCTGCTACAGCATGGGGCTCACAGTGGCTGGTGAACTTTAATCCAGATAAAACTCAATTTTATTCGGCCAATCGTTATCGTAATAATTTAGATCTTCCTATATTTATGAATGGTAATGTACTAGATGAGTCATCTACCATTCATCTTCTAGGATTAACTCTTACTTCTGATCTTTCTTTTAAACCGTATATCAAATCCATTGCAAAATTAGCATCTGCTAAGGTTGCATCTCTTTATCGAGCTCGACACTTTCTTACTCCAGATTCTATTCTCTATCTCTATAAATCTCAAATCCGCCCCTGTATGGAATACTGTTGCCACATCTGGGGCGGATCTTCTAATGATGCTCTTTCTCTTTTAGACAAGGTGCAAAAACGAATTGTAAACATAGTTGGACCTGCTCTGGCAGCCAATCTCCAACCTTTGTCACATCGTCGTAATGTTGCTTCTCTTTCTCTTTTCTACAAATACTATAATGGGCACTGCTCTAAAGAGCTAGCGTCCCTTGTGCCATCTACTAAAATTCATTCTCGTGTTACTCGCCATTCAATTAAGTCTCATCCTTTTTCTGTGACTGTTCCTAAGTGCTTCAAAAACTCTTATTCTTCTAGTTTTTTTCCTCGAACATCAGTTCTTTGGAATTCGCTTCCTTCATCTTGCTTTCCTGATTCATATAATTTGCAATCTTTTAAGTCATCAGTCAATCGTTATCTTGCTCTACAGATTTAGTCTTTTCTCTTCCAGTAACTTCCAACTCTTATAGTGGTTGCTTGCAGCCTTGTTGGAAGTGAAGATGATAAAAAAAAAAAAAAAAAAAAAATATAAATCCTCATTTCCCATTTCTTAGAAGTTTTGTTTGAAGGTACTAAGAGTCCACAGAAATGACTTTATATTAAGTGATTTTTATAAATAAATAAAAAAGATCAGACATTATCAAGATACATTATCAAGATCTATTGAAATTATTAAAGATCAGAAATTTTTAATGAGTTAAATTGGCTAGATAATTTATCTGTTTATGATTGGAGCACTGTATTTTCTGGTTAAATTTGTTATGCAAAAGCATAAATGCTATAACCTACTTGACTTGTAATTTCATAACATATCTTTTATTAGAGATGTTAACATAATTGTCAACTTAATTTCTCTGCGCAGCGGTCTTGCTTGTCAAGGTTCGTGTTTCAGAGTTAAAGAGTTGAGAGAGGGTTGTACCACAATTTACAACAAAAAAAAAAATAAAAAAAAAAAAAAAAAAATGAGTAGCCTTCTCGACTGTAGTGGCCCACTCGGGCATTGGGAGGTGAATAATTAAAAAAAAAAAAAAGATGTTTACCACCACTTAGTTAATCTGATCACAATTCAGATGACCAAAGTTACACACAAAATATAAACAACAGACAAGGAAGAAAAGTTTAATGATGCAACCGTCTTCATGAGTGTTATATATGTCTAGTGGTTCTTTAAATAGAGAAATAGCAGCCTCTGCTCAGAATGTAACTTAAAGGCATTGAAGGACTCTTATGAGCTGAAAAAAAGATTTTGCTTAGAAAATATGCAAATAATAAATATTTGGATGCAGTCATTTGTTGACTGCATGTTTCTTGAATAAGATGAATATTTTTCCTGGCGTATGCACCAGGAAAATATTATTCTTTTTCAAGATTACACCTTTTTAAGTAAATCTGAAGATTAAAATGTGATGCTTGTAGTAAAAGAGGAGAGAATGTCTGCTAATGTTACTAAACAAATGGTAGTTGTGATGAAAAAATTAGGAAAAAAAGAAAAATTTACAAAAATCCTTGTTGAATTTAAAAAAAACAACAACAACTAAGAATTGGACGAACTTATGTTTTGTATCTCCGCAACAATGATTTATAATTGTTATTATTTAAATAAATTCATTTTTTAGCAAACAAAAACCCTTTTTTTAGATTATTAAATTTTCAATATTTTTTTGATATTAATTAGACTTTATTTAACAATTAAATTTTTCAATAAAAAGCATGAAAAATTGAAAAAACAAGTTCAACATAACCCTGATACACATGATCTTATGAGCTAAAAATTAAAAAGTGATGAATTTAATTTAATTGACGGAGAATGCAAAGTATAGTTCCCTGGATTAGGATTTTTAATAAATAAATATGACACAGACAATACATATAGAATATTTACTTAGTTTTTTTCATTGTTGGGACACAATAAATCAAAATAATTAAAGAAGAATTTACAAATAATAAACAAAATATTTGTCTTAAAACAAAACAAAGGATACAGTTTCCAACAATAGTTACAACAATAAAATATAAGGATGATAAAAGAGCCAATGGTTTTTCAGCACCACCATATGCCTTGATTGCATCATACATAACATTATTCCAACCATCTCCCATCATTATCTAAATATAGAAACATAATTGGTTTTCATTTAACATATATTTAAACTGTTATTTAGTAACTTAATGAAAATATCAAATTATTGTGTATCTATTGTAAAATAAAATTCAATTAGTTAGTAAATGTATACCTGAAAAACAGTCAACATAGAATTAAAAAAATCATCAAAGTTTGTACGCGGCTTAGGAACTATATTGTACCAACTGTCAAAAAAAAAATTAACTTTAAAAATATATTGAGAAACATCATGAAGTTTTTTTTATTTTAAAATTGAATAATAATGTTACAAACATTATTATTCATTATTAACATCCATTGCAAATCATTGTTTTGTACATTTTAACGTTGATAAATATTATTTATTGTATTAGTTAATTGTTTTTGTTTTTAATTTGCTATGAAAATTTTAAAATTTTAAAAGTCTTTAAATGTTAAAAAAATAAAACTTTATTCTTATCAGGTAAACTTTTATTATTTTATTTTTTTCTAGATTTTCGGTAAATAATGCTAATACATTATTTACCAAAAATCTGAAAAAAAATAATGTGAATACATTATTTACCAAAACTCTGGACAAAAAACAAACATTGTTTCAAATTTTTATAAAAATATTATTACCTAGAGTTTTTTAAATATGAAACCAGGTTTATTAACTAAACTAATAATATTCTATAAAATTTTCAATGTAAATTTCTTATATAGGGTAATGTGATTTTCTTGGGGTAAACCATAAAAAGTTTGCAACACATGCATGTTCAAGGAATTTGACTAAAATTACAGAAACTGTCAGTAAAACATGAAAGCTAATACATTTTTTGATTTTTTTTGTTTTTTATGTTTTATAACATAAAATTTACTGAAATATTTAAATGTATTGACATACAAAACTCAAGAACAGAAATTTTCAGAAATCTATATCAAATAAGTTAAAAATAAAAATCACAACTTTATTTTCTAATTTTTTCTAATATTTAAAAAAAATAAGTTAAAGTCAGAAAAAAATAAAAAAAACGACAAAAAAGTTTAAAAATTTTTGCAAATAATTTTTTGAAACTTAAGTTTATATATTTAAATAAAAACTACTCAAGTATGAAATCAAAAAAATATTGCTTTCTAATATGTATCATGATGTATTCATATATCATATATGTATTCATAGATGTATTCATATATCATAAACACCTGATATATTGATCCCATATAAATTCAAATAAATAATTTGATAAAAATGTGATATACTTACACTGCTCCAAAAAGACTCATTCCAAGTAAAGCAAAACTGACAGCAACAATAAAAAAAAGCAGAATCAAACTCAAAACAGATGATATGCTGTAAAATATTGATGACTTTAATTTCTTAATAGATCCCCAAACTCTAAAACAAAGCATAAAATATGTACATATATATAATATATGTATAAATTAGTAGAAAATCACTTTGCAAAATTTTTTTTCATTCAACACTGTGTTTTATTAATAAAGACTCATCAGAAATTTTCTGATGAACTTTGTAATTGTTCTGTTCTTTTAAGAACATTGAGCACTCTTTTTGTAGAATACATTTTAAATTGTTTAAATATATTAAATATATATAATATATATATATATATATATATATATATATATATATATATATATATATATATATATATATATATATCCCAGACAGTAAGCTAACATTGGCCCAACCTTAGTTTTAACATTGGTAAATTTATTACATTGGGCCAACATTTAGCCAATTTTTTTTTTTTGGCGTAATATTTCAATTCTGAAAATCGGTTTTTTACAAATATCATACAACATTGGGCTAACATCTAGCCAATGTTTTTTTTCAGCATAATATTTCAATTTTCCAAATCTTTTCGCAAATATCGTATTAAGCTGGGTCAACAATTGGCCAAAGAAGTGTTGGCTTAATATTTTGCTATAAAAATCTGTTTTTACACTAATGTTGCAGTGCATTAGTGTAAGAACAGTTGAGCTAATATTCGGAAATGTAGTTGCAGATCATTTTACTGGTATGCATAACATTTTAAAAAAATAGTACCATTTTAAAAAGTAAAGAAAGGTTTTGATACTATTTTTCCATTTTTTTTTTTTAATTATAAAAAAAATAAAAAAATAGGCTATTTTTATTATTCTTAATTATTAATGAACTGATTTATAGATTTTTATAGTTTTATAGTTATAGATACAAGATTGAACTTAGCAGAAGGCTAAACGTCTGCTCTGGAGACAAAAAAAAATGACAGCAAAAATGATCAGCCAAAATAAAGACAAAAAATTGATGATTCTTCAGATTATTTTGGTAATGATTTATCTTCAATTTCATATGATAAAAAAAAAATACTAATAAACCTTGGGATTTACCTGTAACTTCAAACTCTTTGCAGAAGTTCAATGTTTGCTCTGAGAAGTTGAATGAAAAAAATTTATTAAATGGTAAGTTTTAATTAAAAAGTCTTTTTGTCTAATGATTGGAAATTTTTATTCATAGCTTCAACTTTTACAATTTTTAAAGACTTTTTCATATATTACAGTCAAAAAAACTGAGTGTTAATGAATGTTTTATTGTGCAAAAATCAACATATCAAAGCTTACATCAACTTTGAAGTTGATGAAAAAACATAAACATTCATATGAGTTTGAAGTTTTAACAGTTGCACATGGTTCTTTATTATTTATTGTATAAATGTTTATTTAGATTTATTTAATAAAATAAGGTAATACAATATTTTTATAGATGAAATTATTTTTAAAAGTTGTATTTTTGTTAATATTCAGAATAAAAATATCTAAAAAATTTTTTTTACAAACATTGGAGAAACATTGTTTTAATATGAATTTTTTTGTTTGTGCAGTCTGTATCTCAAACAAGAATTGCTTTGTGTCAGTGCCAGAAATTGAATTGAATTGAATGCAAATTCAATTCAACATTGAATTGAAAACAAATTCCATAATTCATAAAAATATAGTGAATCCATTAGCAAGTATAGATTTTTATCATTAAAAATTTCCCCCTCTGTTTTTAATTTTATTTGCTTTATTAGTGATTGTTTTATTTACTTTCATAAATTCAAAATGCTGTATATAATTTGTTGTATAGTTTCTTAAGAATATTATTAACTTTATTGTTTCAAGATAAAATTATATTCCCTAAAGATATTCTGGTATTAGTGGCATGATTGGCAAGCATTGAAGTGCAACTTGGTGAACTACAAAAAACATCAAACTTAATTTTAAGCATATTTAAAAAGAGTAACAAAGATATACCAATTAATGATTTGCATGACAGAATGTTATTGCCACTAAAAGCAGTAGAGAATTTAAGTACTCTAGAAGAAAAATTAAAAGACAAGAAAATACTTAAGCATATGATAAATATTTTTTTATGATTTGTTTTTGCATTTCCTATGATATCATTATACAATTTATGTACTTTAAACAAAATACTCTTTGAAGGTTTTTTGTAAATGAGATTTTACATAAATTTAAATAAAAACTAATTATTAACTTTAATTATTAGGTTGTAAACTTAACAATTCCCGCAAATCCGGTTTTAAGGAATAGAAAAAGCTTTGGTAAAAAAGTTTACCAAAATCAAGGTGTTAGATTTTTTGTTTTAAATCTTATTTTAAATCAAATGCTAAAATTAAATATTTTCTTTTAACGCTTTGAGCAATATTGCGGAAATTAGAATGTGTGTAAATTGCAGAATATATTGTAAAAATATAAAAAGAGAAAAGTTTTTATGAGATTATAGCAAGATTTATTTTAAAAATAAAATATAATACAAATAAAATTTAAAATAAAATTTATGTTAAAGATTAGTGAGATTGTAGCAAGGTCTGAACCACGTAAAGGAAAACAAATAGAAAATGAACATAAACTAGGGTCAGCGACAAGACTCAAATAAAAGGTAAGTGATTAGTTTTATCTGAACAACTTGTCAAAGTTAACAATCTGAGTATTGAGAAAGATAAAAATTTTGAGCCACCAAAGTCAGTGGTACTAGATTAGGGGTGTACCTGATTAGATATTTTGAAGTCCCGCCGGAACCGGATTTGCGGGAATTGTTAACAAAATTAACGATAAAAGATTTGTATTTATGTAAGTTTAATGGCAATATTAGAAAGCTCTACATAAGTAGAATTTAGATTCTAGTAACATCACTTTTTGTAAAGTGTGTTAATATATTAGTAGATGGGGTTTCACTATCAAACACAGATAAAATCAATTAAAAGAAACATACTTAAAATGTAAAACATCAGCTTCTAACAACTACAATACCACTATAATAGTCATATATAAAACTTTTTACCTAATGACACTACTAGTGTCACAAGTGATGTACAATTTGCAGGTGTTATTAATAATTTTAACTAAAAATCAAATTATTATGAATAGATTTAAAAAAAAAAAACTTTTTTTTTTAATATTTATTATTGTATGACATTTCAAATGTTTGATTTATTTAATAAAAAAGACATTTTAAAATTTCACACAGTAAAAATTTCATAGATGTAACAGCTTCTGTATACTTAGTCCAATGCTCAATTAAAAATACAAAGTTGTAACATACTGTAAGATCTTACACAAAAAAAATTTGCTTATTGCCTTTATTACTATAATGATAATTTAAATTGTAGTAAAGTTTTATAAGCTCATTATTTAAATGTTAACTAATATTTCATAAAAAAAAAACAAAAACCATTTAGTCATGAGAACCTCTTGAACTTCTTATGAAGTCAACTTCTAAGATTTTTAGATGATTAATAAACATAGCCTATTTTGTTTATTTTTATAATTTAAAAAAATGGAAAGATATTTAATTTATATTTATATTTAAAACAATACAAATTTTTAAAAATGTGATGCAACAAGTTTTAAAAAAATGTATATATATATATATATATATATATATATATATATATATATATATATATATAGTCATATAGTCTTGCATGGTAGTCACAAAGTTTCCCCCATAAACTGCTGTTTTAAAGAGCGCGTTAATAAGGCTGACCAGAAAATGTTAAAAAACTTCCAAAAAAAAATTTTTTCTTTAAATGATAGACTGCCTGCCAAAACCAAACTCTCAGTCGATGTAGCAGCACTCCCTTGGGAGTCAGGCTATTTGTCAGTCGATGTAGCAGCACTCTGTTGCGAGTCAGGCTATAATATAGTCAATGTAGCAATACTCCCTTGTAGCAGCAGGTTATAAGATAGTCAATGTAGCAACACTTACGCATGTTTTAAAAATGTTTTTTAATAAAACAAAAACAAAAACACCACTAATTAAAAAAAACTTTCTAGGCATTATTATTGCGGTTTTTTTAAAAAACAATAAAATTCAATGTACTTCTGCATTAATTTAATTGCTTTGACATTTCGACGACAATAAAATGCAGCTTAAGAGATGAGGTAAAAAAACTGTAGTCAAAAGAGACTTTTTTTTTACCATAAAAGTCTCTTTCGACTACACTATAAAGATATATATATATATATATATATATATATATATATATATATATATATATATATATATATATATATATATATATATATTTAACATCATAGCTTCCAACAAGGCTGCAAGCAACCACTAATTAGAGTCTAAAGTTACTAGAAGAGGAAAGATGAAGATTATAGAGCAAGATAACAACTAACAGACAACTTAAAATATTGCAAATTATATGAATAAGGAAAGCAAGATGAAGGAAGCGAATTCCAAAAAACTGATGTTTAAGGTAAAAAACTAGATGAATAAGAGTTTTTGGACTACTTAGGAATAGTTACAAAAAGGGATAAGACTTAATTGAATGACTAGTAACACGAGAATGAATTTTAGTAGATAGCACAAGAGATGTTAGCTCTTTAGAGCAGTGTCCATTATAATATTTGTAAAAAAGAGAAAGAGAAGCAACATTACGATGATGTGATAATGGTTGAAGTTTTGCTGCAAGAGCAGGTCCAACTATGTTTATAATGCATTTTTGCACCTTGCCTAAAAGAGAAAGGGCATCATTAAAAGATCTGTCCTAGATATGGCAACAGTAATCCATACAAGGCTGGATTTGAGATTTATAGAGATAGAAAATAGAATTCGGAATAAGAAAGTGTCAAGCTTGATAAAGAGATGCAATGCTAAATTTGCAATGGATTCGATATATGGTTTCTAAGAAAGATCAAAAGTAAGAGTTAATCCTAGAAGATGAAGGTTAGTTGACTCATCAAGTACATTACCGTTCATAAATATAGAAAGATCTAAATTATTGTTATAACAATTGGATAAAAAAATTGAGTTTTATCTGAATCAAAGTTCACCAGTCACTGTGAGCCTCATGCTGTAGCAGAAGTGAGATCGTTTTCAAG